CCACACCCGAAAGTTAGAGAGAACCATTTGGTCCGCGTCGTGCAGGAGGACGAAGTCCAGCACGTCCTCGCGCATCCCGAAGCCAAGGTTCAGGAACTGCATCAAATACCAGCCCGCGTTGACTCGCCCGTTCCAGGCCTTGCAAGAAAGAGGCAGATTCAGATGGGTCTTGGAGGGTTCAGAGAAACCTCAGTGGTCCTGATTGTTTGGGGGGCCAGGGAGAGGGTGCGAGTAGACCCTATGATCAATACAATCAGGGTTTCGGTGAACATCTCATGGCCTCCTGTGCATGAGGCAACTCCAGCCGCATGTTTGTCTCATGCCGACCTTCGGTGTGCTCCAGAAAACTAGTTACCAGCGATTCAACCGCCAAACTCCCAAACCGAACCATCAACGTTACGGGGTACCTGAAATTTGTTGGTGGCTTCCTTTGCATCCTATTGTAGGTGGCTGGCCACTTGGGTTTTTTCACCCTCTAACAAAGTTAACTCCACATTCACGGGGGGCTTAAAGTGGATGATTATTGCAATCATAACCGAACGGTTACCGCTACAACTGTCCAACTCCAGCCGAACCCACTGCTCCCATTCAAAGACTCCGCGCGAACTTCTCCGATTTCCCCAGCTCTTCCTCTCAATCAATATATGTCTAGGAATCGGACGAATCGGACCCTTCCTTCTGGCTTTGAAAAGACGAGGCCATTTGACCTTCCCTTTTCGCCGCTTTTGGCTAACCCCACCTCGTGGCCCCCGAAGCCCTGCAGGTCCAACTGCTTCGCGATCAGGTCAAAGGACACCCCCGGCACCGCCAGGGACTCCTACATCGGGGGAAAAGGGAAAAAGAAGTAATATCTATATATATATATATACATATTGATCTCAAGCAAGAAATATATGAAAACGTCAAAACAAAACTCGGCTGTGTCGCTGGAGTTCAAAGGGCTCCGATGTGTGTGTGTGTGTGTGTTGTTTAAGACTCCCGTAACTTGTTCATGTCCTCGGGCGATAGAACCAGGGCCAAAAGCGTCTGGAACAAAACTTCGGGAATCCAAGAAAAAACGCCTGGCCCGAGGAATCACAACAAGCACCATGCTATTTAGAAACCTTGGTTTGCGGCCCCAGTGCGGGAATCAAACAAAACTAGCCCCCGAGAATGTGCGTTTCAATTATGGGGAACTCAAAAGAAGTCCAGATGGAGCGGTGCCGGCAACTGGGGTGTTTATTGCTTGGAATCACCAGTTGCTCACTCACTTGCTTGGCGCAGAGTCCAAAATGATGAAATCCAAAATGAAAATAGCTAATGTGAGCAAAACAAACACCGGTTCCGGCAGAAAAGGACAGCGCGTTTAAAGAAGAGAAGTGTTCTTGCGATATTTCTGAGAAACCACTTGTGGTTCAAGATTGGCTTCCCATTTGTCCAACTTTCTTCCATCCACAAGGCCCGCTTTCCTTTTGTGCCGTATTTAAAAACAAAACAAAAAGCCACGAGCCCAGATCCACCTTTCATTGATCTCCTCTCAGATTGAGTCCCCCCTTTTAGGAGGCCCTTCAAACCCTTTTCGGGAGTTTGGGGATCTCCCCCTTTTTAGGGTGTTTCATCCTTCAGTTCGGACTTTTGGCATGGAGTCCCCCTAGAAACCTCCGCCGGGCGGCATCCACCCCGATCACGTCTTCGTGGAGCTCGGAGAAGCTCTTCACCCACCTCTTCGGCACGCAAACGAAGATCTTCCGAAGGCCTGACTGGAGCCGAGCCGGACCGCAAGAAAAACACGAAGCTGGCAACAAACAACCCCAAAAATTTGGGGAAGGGGTGTCTGTTTTAGTTGGAGACCCCAAAATGGCTTCGCTGTCCTTTTTGGGTGTCCGCTTTAAACCAACCAAAAGAGGCTTCCCCAAAAAAAACACAAATGGTGGCTTCAAACGGTTAATGTCCCTTTAAACCAACAAAGAATAGGCCCTTGATGGCAACGCTGTTTCAGGGAACCCCCAAAATGAGTGGTTTCCTTTGGGCTTCCCTTTAGAAACCACCACAAAGGCACCCTCAAAAACAGACATACCCTTTTTGGTGAAGCCCACTGAACCCCCAAAAGTAGGTGGCAGTGATTGCTCCGCCTTGGGGCTTCAAATACTTCAGCGCGTTCATGATGGTCTGGTAGTTTACGCACGTGGGCGTCAGTGCAACGGTCATTATGTCAAAGGCGTGCTTCGGACCTCCTCGGATTGATTCAAATGCTGCAGAGTCCACCGGCTCGGTTCAAGGTGGTGGGCATGCGCCCCTTTTTCGGGGCGGCCGTAGCACACAAAATCCATAACAAAAACTCTACAGGCCGCCGCGGTCATACCAAAGTACTCGGCCACTTGGCTCGTGCTTCCTTTACACTCACTCACCGCTTTCCAAGACAACCCAAAACTGCATCCAACTCCTGAACCCAGATCCAACACCGAGCCCTTGCTATTTGTCAAAATAAAACGCGGGTTAAACTTGAACTCTGAAGCATAGGTGATATGGGGCCCTTCAGTGGCCCTTTGCAAGATTCGGTCAATGAACTTTGCATTAATGCGGGCAACACCCCCAGCAGGTCAAACTTCGGATCGACTGCATTCCTGCTTCTTGCCTGGAGTTTCTTCAGTGGCCTTTTGAAATGCATCTGTTGCGCCTTGCGACGCACATATGGGTGTGTGTGTGTGTGTTCTTGGGGGACCCTCCGTACCTGTGCGTCTACCAAAATGCTGTGCGTCTATCCAGTGGGCTTCCGAGCACAGACTGAGAATCAGCTTTTTGGCCGGGAAAAGTCGAAAAGTCGAAAAGTCGAAAAGTCGAAAAGTCGAAAAGTCGAAAAGTCGAAAAGTCGAAAAGTCGAAAAGTCGAAAAGTCGAAAAGTCGAAAAGTCGAAAAGTCGAAAAGTCGAAAAGTCGAAAAGTCGAAAAGTCGAAAAGTGCCGAAAAGTCGAAAAGTCCCGAAAAGTCGAAAAGTCACAAAAAAAAACGAAAAGTCGAAAAGTCGCAAAAAGTCGAGAAAACTCGAAAAACAATCGTAACAAGTAGAACAGCCCGGAAAACTCGAAAAGTCGCGCGCAGTCGAGAGATTGCACAAATCGAAAGGAAAGAACAAAATACATTGATGATCTGGAGAAGCTATTTCAACTTTTTGGCTCCCTTTACAAACAAACCAAAAAAAGAACGGTACCCTGACAAAAACCCTGACAAAAACCCACACCCATATGTCTGCAGTGGAGGAGATAGGTAGTTTGCATATTGACCTGAAACCAACGCAACTTTCAATGATGCCAATCCGTTTGAGGGAGCCCAACCTTGCCACCCATCTCCATGTTTTTGAGGATTGCTTTCCTGAACCTGGGAGGCAGCAGTTGTTGGGGGGGTGCTTGTGGGTAAATGATGTTTATCGTGCAAACAGTACTCCCCTGTCATATTGAGCTCAACAACTGGCGCCTTTTCAAAAAGAGATTCCTCTACGGATGGTTTTGGATGGTCCATGTAGTGTATCCCCACTTCTGTGATACTTTGGGAATCTCCCCCTTATGGGACATGAATCGATGAATCTTTGGGAAGCTCTCTCGGTTGTATCACAGTGGATTCCATTTCAACCACAACCCTGGTTCATGTTGATGGGTTCACATGACACCAACCGGGCTTTGCCGGGCCTGGCTGATTGCCCCATTCCACGGTTTACCCGAACCCTCTGGACTCTTGGGACAGCTTCAACTCATTTGAAGAGGTTCCAAGTTTTGACACGGGCCATATGTGTCATCCACAGAAGATTTTCACGACAGGCCCCAGTTTGGGGGGGGGGGGTTCCACACGAGTCAACCCCCTTTGAAGGGGAGAGATCAAACAAGCCATACAATGCATAACCAGAGGCGGACCGGTTCGCCCCAGTTCCCTATTCTCCCACACATTTGGCGGGGTGCTCGAATGGGGAAACCAGCTCATTAGGGCGAGTTTGCAAAGGAAAAACAACCATTTACTTGACTTTGGTGTGAATGATCGTGATTGTTGTGCTAATTTGGATGAACTGAGTGAGCCAGCAGAAGCACGAAAACTTGGTTGATGATATTATACTTGACAAGGGGTGTGTGCTCAGAAAAAGAACCAGGCCCCCTGTGTCCCTTTGTCTCCGGCCCTTGCCGTGGTTCCAGTGAATACTTGACTGGAGCTCGCCATTATCATCTCCTCGGGATTGGGCAGCACGAGGCCTGAAGTGCAAGGACACAGGTTCAGTTGAGACAAAGCTTGGTGATACAGGTTGCCAAGTTTGATCTAGTATCTCTGACCAAAAGTGATTTTCAAACACACCTCTTGCTGCCGTTCCCTTCTTCGAGGAAGCAGCAATGCGCTTTCTCCAGATTCAAAGTTCAAAAACTATCTTGGAGTTTGGCTTGTAGCTCTGCCCAACGCGGCTGTTTCCGCAGCAATCAACATGGTGCGTCTAGCATGTGCCGTTGATCAACGTGAATAATGCATGTAGATATTCGACAGTATTGCTTTTCATATATACAAAGTGCAAAATAACACAAACACACATGCACATACTATTGTAGACACAGATCTGTGCACATGTACATATGCGCATATACATTTCCAAATGCAAACCTCGTGCACATGCCAAAGATACACGCACACGTGTATATATATATATATATATATGTATATATGTATGTATACACACTCGTTAGCCCCTGAACGTGAGCCCGGGGAGCCCACGGGTCTTTGGGGTTGGCGCTTCGTTTGCTCGCTTTGCGGTTCGTTTGATTGCTGGCTGGAGTGGTTTATGCACTGGTTTGACCCTTCTGTGCGAACGCATGCGCAAATGTTTGTTTTCTTCTTCATTTGTTTGAGTGGTTGTGTGGGTTGTTTTGCTTTGATTGAGTTTGGTTTGTTGACTTCTTGGCTTGTTGCTTGCTTGCCTGCCTGTGTGCTTGTTGCTTTGCTTGTGCTTTTGTTTGTTGGTTTGCTTGCTTGCTTGCTTGCTTGCTTGCTTGCTTGCTTGCTTGCTTGCTTGCTTGCTTGCTTGCTTGCTTGCTTGCTTGCTTGCTTGCTTGCCTGCTTACTTGTTTCTTTGCCTCTGTGTTTCTTTCTTCGTTTGCTTGTTTGCTTGTTTGTGTGATTGTTTGTTCGTTGGTTTGTTCGTTCGGTTGTTTGTGTGTTTCTGCGTGCTTGCTTGCTTGCTTGCTCGCTCGCTCGCTCACTCGCTTGCTTGCTTTCCTGCCTGCCTGCCTGCCTGCCTGCCTGCTCGCTTACTTGTGTGCGTGCGTGCATGTTGGCTTGCTTGTTTGCTTGTTTGTCTGCTTCCTGGGTATGGTTTATTGACAAAATAAACAAACGTTCCTTCTTCCCTTCCTTTCTTCTGGCCGCGATTTTGACTCAAAAAGCTTCACAACATGCACAGGACAAGAAACTGGTTGAGCCAAAACATGCACGACCAAAAACAAAACAAGAAGCCAAAACACGGGAAGACTCCGGGCCAGGTCCACTTGATTCCTCTAGGGATGTTGGTGCTGTTTGTCCCTGTGCAATTTTCAAGCTTTAGTCCTGCCAAACTGTGATTTGCTTGGTACTGTGCATGGTTTGGAGCCCTGTGATGCCCAACCGACTCAGTTTGTCCCTGTGACGTTTGGAGAGTTGAAGTGTTGAAACCTGAACATGGACAGAAAAGGCAAGATGTTGAAAAAGTGCTAATCAAAGCATGGTGGGCGCAAATATATACATATATATATATATATGCATATCTATATATATATATGCGTATAGGTATTTATACATATATACATATTTATTTATTTATTTCAACCCCCCCCCCCCCCGCCCAAAAGGGGAAAAGAAAAAAAAAAAAAAAACGTGTTCAGGTTCTACTTACATGTTGGACTCCCTCACACAAAACATAGCTGAAAACAGCTCAAATAGCTAAAACTAGCAAATCTGGATCTTGGGGAAGCGGGAGAACCATAGCAAGAATTGATAGCCATATGCATCTGGACATCACAGGCCTATGGGAATCCATCTAGGCAATCCATATTTGCAAGCAGGTTAATCCAAATTGAATGTCATGGTTTGCTGTTGCCATGGTTTGTCTGGAATTCTTGAATCTTGAACCTTGAATCCTATTATTCTAGAAACAGAAGAGTTAAAAAAATTGGCAACAGCGAAACATGACAGCGAACCAGTCGAATGTTGCGCGACATGCGGCACAACCTGTTGTCCAACATGTAGCAAAACACACCCAAAAAAAAACACAGTCCGGCCCCCACCACGGCTGAAAAATTGTTTCTTGTTTCTTTTGTAGGGCTTCGCTATCACCAGCTGCGCTGGTTGGCTGCAGGTCTCGCCCAACCTCCCTCCTACTCAGCACCCACCCCCTACTCAGCACCCACCCACCCACCCCACCCACCCTCCCACCAACTCCCAACCATTCCCACCCAGCCCAGACATTTGGACCCCAAAACATCCCCACGTTGCCCGACCATCAAAACACAGTAGATGCCGTCGCCAACTTCACCCAGCATTCCTGCATCACCAGCATCTGGGCTTTCCAGCATCCCTTGCATCCCCTGCATCCCCTGCATCCCCTGCATCCCCTGCATCCCCTGCATCCCCTGCATCCCCTGCATCCCCTGCATCCCCTGCATCCCCTGCATCCCCTGCCCCTGCATCCCCTGCATCGCACCAACCAAAAAAAAAAGGTTTCCTGAGTAGGTTTTGGCATAGTGGGCATGTTTGCGAGCAGAGTTGGGGCCGGCGCCACTATGCGGAACACATCGCAAATACCGTGTTGTTTGGTCATTTCCCCGAATTTTTGTGGGGCAGAGTGGACGCGGGGATGCAGCCCCCCTCAAAAACCCAGGTTTCAGCAGTCTTCAGATGGATGAGGATCCAGTGCGGAATTCCAGAGAAGAGTTCCGAGGAACAAACGTAGGTTTTGGAGGGGTACCACATATACATAGATGTGTCCCTTGAACCGGCGATCTGCATTTGCTTCGAGAATCAGGGACCCCAAGTGCGATCATGGATCAGGGTGCTCGCTATTATAATGATACGAAAGCAGAATGCCAAGAAGCAGTCCGTCTGCCACCACAGCAGCGAGGCCCCCACCAGCAGCCCGGCAGCAAAGGCCCCAGGCCGGCCGGCGGCAGCCATACGCAGCCGCGTACACATCTTGGACAGGATATCCATGCACATCCGACATGCAGTTCTCGGAGACAAACACAAGACCGTGCTTTCTGACGTTGTTTTTTCTTCCTTGGGTAAACATGACATGTTTGTGAGGGACAAGTGTGTGTGTGTGTATGTGTGGGCGTGTGGGTCCACGTGTATTCGCTTCTCCTTCCTTCTTGTGGGCTCTACAGGGGAACTAAACGGACACTGGTCAACTGGGGTCGCCCAGTTGACAAAGAAAACTTCGAGCCTATGACTCAGGCGAGAGGTAGACCCCTCAAACCCTGACGGGTAGGCCTCTCGTCAACTTGAGGTACGGTGGATGCCAACTCTTTCTTCCTCACGACCGTATCTGCCTGCGGAGTTGCCTTGTTGTTCCGTTCGTGGGGAATTTTGCTCTTGGGTTGCTAGGTCATTTGTGCAATGAATACAAAAAGCGAAACATAGCTTAGGCTTTTTCAAAGATGGTGGTCTCACAAGATTCAGGCCTTTTGGCCAGAGTTTGTTCCCGTCGCTCATTTGTTCCCGTCGATCAGATTAAGAGCTGGACACATTTCTGGGCACAGATTTGCATGTGATATGTTCCGAGTGTAGCTTCCTCTACAAATGACAAAGGAAGTTTGTGGGAGACCTCTGGGAGATGGGCCGCAAAATTGCAAACAAACCTGGATTGTCACGAGCCATCCAAATAGCCTCAAACAATTTGACACGCAAAAGGGAGATGCACAAATTGGGTCTGAAAGTTGGATAAAACTGAGGGCTACGGGCACCTGCACTGAAAGTGCAGCTCACATACCCGAGCATGGTCGAAAGAACACTCAGCTGCATGGAAGAAAGGATGTGCGCCCGGATCGGAAAGTTCCAAACTCAACACCCAAAAATTCGTGGCTCAAAGCTGCCCAGAATAAGCCCCATCTTGACCTGTATGAAGACTCCTGACACCGCGAAAGCTCGCACGGCTCACAGGCGGCAGGCATGCTCGGGCCGCAGCAGCAGTGACCAGGACCTGTCACGTAGCCAAAAAGCAAAACAGGAGGGAAATCCCCTTTTTTGGAAACAAACGTGTGACTGAAAGACCCTTCACTAACAGGGCCGAATTCGGTCTGAACCCCCAAAGCGCATGGATCCAACTCGTTTGACACATGAGTGGCTCCCACATATACACACACGCACGCACTGCAAGCACATCTGCACAAGTTGGATGGAAACCAAAAGACTTGACGGTGGTGCCACATATACCTCCCTGGTTTCAACCCAAAAAACGTTGTGAAATAGTGGGGTTTGTGATCAACCAGGGGGTTTCTGTGGGGTTGATATAAATTAGCGTGAAAGGACCTGAAATGGGTGCCAGACCCGAAACGACATCGCGATATCCATCAAATAAAGTAAAGTGCAGCACCCTATGGCAAGTAGTGAGAACGCCATTTCCCACTTGCCATGTTCATTGTGGGGCAGCTGCCGGCTGCATATCGCAACCTGGCAAAATGACATGGCAACTCTGATTGGTGCCCTTTTCGCTTTCCTTTAGAGCACCATCCCAAAAGAATGACTCTTTCCCTCGTAACCACGCCGATCTGGGCTTCTGACAAGTGGAAACCCGACTTGCAAGTTTCGACAGCTGATTTGCGAGCCATAAAACATGAACAAAAAGAACAAGCCAAATCCTCCAAAACAATTCTGCCGACTCCCGACTCTCCCGACTCCGACCCTCACAGGTCGTCATGCAGATGTGCTGCTGTTTTTTACGAATTGGCTCCGGTTGTACTTCTGGTTGCCCTTCAAAACCTACCAAAAAACGGGTACCAACTCCAATCGCCTCAAAGACAGCGCCAGGGCGTTGCCCTTGCCCTGGGCCGCGTTCAGGAAGCTGTTGAAGTCTGGTGAGCTGCCGGCCGCCAGCTCCAACCAGCCCACCGTCACCAGGTACTCCTCGACGGCCGAAAATCCGCCGATTTCTTGCCGCTGCCCGCCACGAAGGGTGGGGGAAAGGAGCGCAAGGGGGGGGTCCTTTTTGTCAGCTTTTGTGTGAAAATCGCCGACCCCTTCAAGAAGGAATCCTTCACTACGAGGGGGTCGATCATTTCTCCACGAAAGCTGGCAAAAAGACCCCCTTGAAGGAGCCCCATGCATGGGGGTGTTCTGGGGTGTCAAACCAATGTAACCACCAAGGGAAGCTGAATTTCAGGCTCTTGGGTAGGCCACCCGTAGTTGTTTTTCGGTGGAATGCGGCTTGGTATAACAAAGGAAACCAGGAAACCAACATAAGACCCACCTTTGAACCCACAGCTAGTTGACTAGGGTCGTGCACATCAGTCCCGTGCCAAGGAACTTCACGTGCCCCGCTGAACTGAGGGAAAAACATCACATGTGCAGCTTCTGCACCAAAAGACTACGGACAACATTCATTGTGTCCCTACCTGACATGGGAATCTGGAAGCGTCCGGTGATTATTGACTGCCCACATCCAAACATTGGGGGGGACCACCTACCGGTAGTTGCGAGCGAATTGGGCAGGCCCCTCCCCAACTAAGAGTGGGTACAGGGTGATCGCGGGCTGCAAATGAGCCAGGTGGCATCAAACACCATCCGTAACACTTCATGTGGTATTCAACGCACTATTTGGGGCTCTGGCGCTTGCCCTCCAAGCCGTTTGAGCACTCTCGACAACTTAAGGCTTGTACAGGCCCACGCACAAACCATGCAGTTGTGAGAAGCAAAGCTGAGTCCTTGATCCACCCGCCGTGCGCGGCCAAGTTGATGTTGTTCACCTGTCCGCATGGAAGATACCAAGCACGCCTTTGCGATGACCGCCAAACCCGCAGCTTTTGACAGACCCCACCTTGACAGTTGGAAGTAGCTGCCTGGGGGATCATGCAGTATGGGCCGGGAAGACGCCAGTGACATGTGCGCCTTCTTTTGAAGGGGGGCACACAACGTTGCACCAAGCCCCTGGAAGCTTGGTTCCGGGCTCGGTCATGACAGGTTCCAGTCCTGTCAGCTGGATAAATGAACTAACCTGCCTAAAACCAACCACACAGGACTAGCATATGATGCTGTGAAATGTTGTTGCAATGACCGCCACAGCTTGCCACGGAATCAATATGAGAAGCCACCAGTGGTAAAAGTCGAGCTCGGCACCTGCCACGTGTGTTGTCCCAAGACCGATGGAAGATCTCACCACTGAATGAGTGAACCCCAATGTGCACATGTGGGCCCGCACCAATTCCCCAAACGAAACCATCCGCAAGAGGCGGTTCACTCGCAATGTGAGGAGGGGATTCCTTCAGAAAGGGGCCTACCCCAATTCAAATCAGCCGCCTTCCTGTCATCGCCCTCTTGCCACCGTTGACACCCCCCACCCTGACACCCTGACACCCTGACACCCTGACACCCTGGCCAGTCGACTCCGAGACACGGCATACATCGCAGGACGGCACAGATCCTCCAGCAAGAAGAACTCCTCCTGCATCAGGATCTGGAAGTCCGGATCCTCGGCTTGAGGCTTGGAGCCCACGTGTGGACTAAACATGGGCGGAGGCGACACCGGGCCCAGAAAGGTCTGCTTGACACAAGCAAACAAAAAAGGGTGGAGAAATGCAGGTGCACTAGTACACGTGGGTGATTCTTGGATTGCGTCCAATTCCTTCACTTGAGCTCATGGACGAGACATCCGATCTCAAGTGGCCCATGTGGAGCCCCGAATTGACACGACAGAAACCCCAAACAGGAATAGACCCTACCAACACCTCTTGACCTTCCATGATCCTTCCATGTACGGCCACTAAATTCATGCAGAGTGAGGAGGCGACTCAAGTGAACTTCCCATGTGAAAAAAACTCGTAGACAGCGCTTCAACCCATTTTGCAAACCCGACCGCAGTCGGAGTCTTCCCCCCCCCCGCAGCCCAAGGCGAAGCTCCCTAGCGAGGTGCCAGCACCACCAAGTCCGCACCGTTGCCACAGAGGCGGCGCAAGCAGTCGGCCTCCGTGTGCCTCCGATCGGAGATTCGCAGATGTGTCAGGAACCACTCAGCTTCCCAGAGATCGTTAGAGCTCAGCGGGGTGGGTTCCCAGTTTCCCGCTACACATGCCGGCTCGAATTCACCTGAACGACTGGGGTTCTGGGTCCTTGCGCGGATAACTTTGAAAGAAAGAACACGTCATTTGGGTGTTTGTTGCCGAGTTGGTAAGTTGCAACGGTAACCTAGGTTACCCACTTATGAGTCCTCCTGGGGTTAACCTTGTTGGGGGGGGTGTACCCCTGGCTAACCACGTACTAACTTGGACGAACATTCTATCCATCGAAGAGGCCTAAGCTTGGCGAAAGAGGTTCTTAATTGTCCAAGGTGGACACGATGAAATTTCTGAAACGCGGCGGCCCATGCAGACAAGTGGACGAGCCAAGAAGTGGCAACTGGTAGGGCACCATAGGTTTTAGTCCATGTCCACTCTCCAGGGCGCCATTATTATATTCTGACCTATGTTTGACCCATAGCCAGGTGGAACTCGGTGTGTTGCTCCCTCGTGAATTGAGGCTTTTGGCAGGAGTAGTTTTCGGTCGACAACCACATTTTGGATAGGAAGGAACTCGCTGATTTCTTGGCGAACGGGAAATTATGAAGGTCCTGACAACCAGCGATGGGGATTTTGACGGAATGGTTTTAGCATTGACCTTGATACTTGGTTTGTTTGTGTGCGTTTTTGTTTGTGGGGCAACAGGCGAACTTCACGTCCCTGGCGACTGCTTACCAGCAACTCAGAGTTTGACTCTTTTCGCATACTGCCAACCATCTGTTAAAATTGTGTTGTTTTTTCGCCCATGCAAGACAAACGGTTCCTCATCCTTGGATGGACCAAAACCTGCACCAGTTGGTAGGTGGTGCTATCCATTATTGGGGCTTAGTCTGTCCAATTGGTCCAGGATTTCGTCCGCCCGCCGTTGGAAGCAGGATCCCCAATTCAAAAAAGGAACCCTGCAGCCTGTAGCCCTAAACCACCTCGCCATCTCAAGGTTGCTCGTACTTTGACCACACCCGGCTCTCAGCCCCCTCACCCCCTCCAAAACTCATGATTCAAGCTTCGTTTCGGAAGCTCCACCTCCACCCCACCCCGAAAACCAGAACACCCGCCTCTCAGCCCCTTCACAACCCCCCCCCCCTCCTGCGAAAAGCAATGGAAAAGAACGATCCCAACCTCCGCGACTTCCCACCCCTCACCCGATCGAGAGCCGATCGCCTGGTGGGCGCCTTGCCGTTCACCACCACCACGCCGCTCTGCGGCCACCTCTCGCAGCTCTTCACCACGGAGGCGCCGCCGAAGCGGCCCAGGCTCTCAGCCGCCGCCTCACGCACCACGCCCCACGCGCCGCGAGGCTCCGCCGGTTTTGGGCGTCAAATTGCGTGAACCTGGCGTTTTCCCTGACGCCAAAGGACAAACAAAGATTGGCAAGGCCGAAAAGGTGAGGTTCCCAAATTCCAAGGCCGTTTGATTGGTCAAATGCAACAAAATGTTGGGACTCCATGTAGCAGGACGGTTTCTGAAGGCAAAAGGAAGAACATGGTTTTGAAGGCCCGAAGCTTTTCACGTCAAAAGCTGGCAATCACACAAGAACACAAAACTCCTCCCACCTGAAATGTGCCGTGTCAATCTCAGAATGTAACCCGTGACTTTTGTTTGCATGTCTTTCCCTTTGGGGGCAAGCCTTAGCTTGGCCAAACCGGGCCTTTTGGCCAAAGGGAAGACCCCCGAGCGACCCGAGCGACCATCGACCGCCTGGCTGAGGCCCGCATCCATCTCGAAGCCCCCGAGCCGCCAGCGGCGAGCGACTGAAGCCGTGAGCCCGTGGGCCAAGACGTGGGAGCTGTGGCCCTTCGCCTTCGCTTCCGCTTCGATTCCACCAACAAAAAGCGACGTCGGATCTTTGGAGGGTGAGTCCTTTCTGGGAAGACCCCAAAAAAAAATCCGAACGGTTCTGTTTCAACCTGGTTTGCCTTGAAAACCAACCAGGGTGCGGGAAAAGCATGAAAATGGAATTCCCCTGCCCTGCAAAATGTCAAGTATCATGTTGCACTACTTGTCACTTGTGCATGCATGATGTACACTACCCGACTGCAGGCCTTGAGTCTACTAGGAAAAGAGTGCATGCTGGCTGACTACATTTGTGTTTGTGATAACAGAACAACACTTGCACTAGAAGTAAGGTATCAACGTATTTTAACGTGGTAGCGGAGCTGAGATCCTAAACATAGGGGAGCTCCAGTAACAGCAGTAAGTACTACAACTGCACAGGCAACCAACATGCCCAACTACTACGACATGTCAGGAGAACCAGCAGCAGCATCAGCACAACCAACTACAGGAGCAGACAACGGGCCCACAGCAGAAGAGACAATAGGAGCCACAACTACGGGAACAACACAGGAGCAGGAAGACGTCCAAAGGCTACACAAATACAAACTGCCACCACCGTTCTTCACTGGTGACTACTCACAGTATGAAGAGTGGCTGTTCAAACTACAAGCATATCTCGGACTTATCGACCGAGACTTCGACATGGTGCTACAACTAGCACAAGCAGCTACAAGACAAATTGAAGATGCAGACATCAGAGCACACATACGCGACCCTACACAGGCAGCAAAAGCAGTAGACCTCTCACGAGATCTACACTACATCCTCATCAACATCTGCCAAGGAGCAGCAGCTACAGTGGTTAGACAAAACCGCTACAATGCCAATGGATGTGAAACACTACGGCTTTTGCGCAACAGGTTCAGCCTACCAGTAGGAACACGCAGTGTTGGCTACCTCACCAAACTACTGGAACCTACATTCAATGAAGCACAATTTGAAGAACAATTCCTACAGTGGGAATACGACATCAACCGCTACGAGAAAGACAACGGCACAGCACTACCAGATGGAGTAAAGATTGCAATACTACTCAACAAGACCAAAGGAGCACTCCAACAGCATCTCCAACTACGTGCTGGACAGATCACGAACTACAACGAGATCAGAGTTGTCATCCTGGACTACTACAAAACCATCTCTGCATTCTCAAGAGCGAGCTCAGCAGTTGGCACAAACTACAATGGTGGGACAGCACCGATGGACGTGGACAACATTTGGAGAAAAGGAAGAAACTACAAAGGCAAAGGCAAATATGGAGGCAAAGGACACTACAAAGGAAACAAAGGAAAAGGTAAGTACAGAAGCAAAGGCCACTACAAAGGATTCGACAAAGGCAGCAAAGGAAACTACAACAAAGGAGGATACAACAAGAACAAAGGAAAAGGCTACTCAGGATCCAAAGGACATGGATCAAGCAAAGGCTACAAAGGCCAAGGAAACTACAGCAAATCAAAAGGAAAAGGAAACAACAATTACACAACATGCCATCGATGTGGCAAACCAGGCCACTGGGCACAAGACTGCAGAGTGCCAGTATGGCACATAGGAGAAGGAGAAGAACTACATCCACTAGAACAAGAACAAGCAGATCACGACAACAATGAAGAACTACCTCAGGATGTGAACGACACTTGGGACTGGTACTACGGAGGAGAAGAAGGACAACACGAGGTGAACTACATGGAGGAGAACTGGAACGACTACGACTATGACAACAGCTGGGATTGGAATGACAACAGCTATGAGGACACTGCAAACTACATTGGAGGCATCAACGAGTCACACCTCACAATTGGACACATCAGACAAGCAAACTCACGACTACACAAGCACAAATCACTACTTGGCAAGAGAACAACACACACAACATCATGGAACGACCACAGCAAGAGCTTTCAACAATTCCTGCAAGAAGACAACACACAGCCACACTTTGATATAGCAGCAGCCAGACAACAACAAAGGAACAAGAAGATTGAGAACACTATCACACACTACATCATGTACTCCAACTTCAAGTCATACCACCACCTGCTGATCGACTCAGGAGCGTCTACACACGTTTGCCCGAAGGACTACGCACCAGACCTACCGCTACGACCTTGTGGAGAATCGGTTCCACAACTCTACACGGTTACCAACAAGAAGATTCCTGTCTACGGCATCAAGTACGTCCCTACAAGCAGGACAACTTCAGGATCATGATACCCTACTACGTTTGTGATGTGAAGTACCCAATCCTCAGTGCATCAAGACTACTTGATAGAGGATATGGACTTGACTTCACTCCACGACACTGCACCATCACACATGGACAACAACAAGCACACCTCATCAGACACTCAGGACTTTTCTACCTACGAGCAGAGAAGATCGACATCCCTACAGGATTCGACATCTATCCCAATGACTACAGACAATGGAAAATCCATTGCTGTGATTCAACCTACAGAGAGAGCAGCACAACAACAAGAACAAATCGCACCACTCACACACACAGACCAAGGACTACGACAGATCCTTGGTGGAAACACTGACTACTGGAAACTTGATGGTGACTACGCCATCAGAGTACACAAACGACCACGCAAAGCACTATTCACACCACACAACAGTGGTTGCCCAATACCTGAAGAAGAACTAGATGATTGGCGACTAACCATCATCAACAGACAAGGGCAAGAGCAAGAACAACTACAAGAGAACCCAACACAACTTTCCAAGCAAGAACTACAACGAAGACTAGAAGGTGACAACTGGACTGGAGAAACCAGATTCAGAAGAAAGATAACACCTACACGCAGAGCAACATCAAAGACCACACCAACAAGGCAGAGCTCACAACCACAACGGCTAATGGACACACCACCAACCAGATCAAAGATCCAACTACGAGCACCACAAAAGATATGGAGACCTAAAGCAGCACCTTCTACAAATCTTGACACCACACAACCAAAGGAGACAATCCACAGACCACTCACAGCACAGGAGGACAACCAAGACTACTGGGAAAGACAAGGTGAACACTGGATAAGACACCACACATCACTTAGAACAACTCTATTCACTCCAACAGATGGACCAGGACATCCACCAATCAGCACACTCGAACCTCACAGAACTACAATCACTCACAACAACTTTGGAGAAGTTTCCCAACGCAAAGATGACTGGACAGTCATGGGCAACGCAGCACTACCATTTCAATGGAAAGGAACAACAAGGTTCACCGTGAAGAAAGACTACGAGTACATCCAGGAGAACCACGATGAGGAACAACAACACGAGCATCATGAAGCACACAGAGCAATAGGACTACGACAACCTCAGCAGCCCACTCCACAACAAATAGCAGAACACAACTTGACACACCTACCATACAGAAATTGGTGTCCAATTTGCGTTCAAGGCAAAGGACGCCAGGACAACTACAAGAAACAACAATCACGACAACCCATCATCCAAGTGGATTTTGCCTACATCAAATCACAACAAGATCCGAAGACCATACCAGTCTTAACGGCAGTTGATGTTACTACACAACTGTGCATGGCGGTATTGGTTCCGGACAAACCATCAATGATGGACTACATGATCAACAACCTACAAGCATTCATCTTTGAATGCGGAAGAACACACGGCATACTACAAAGCGACAACGAAGACACACTCAATGCACTACTACAAGCAACAGCATCTAAAGTCGGCTCAATGACTGTACGACATTCACCATCCTACAGCAGCAACAGTCAAGGAAGCGTTGAGCGACTACATAGAACACTTCTCGGACAAATCCGCGTCGTCAAAGCTCAGGTTGAAAGCAACTACAGCATGACGATGTCCACAAAGCACTGTCTACTACCCTGGATAGTACGACACGCAGCATGGACGGTAAATCGCTACGTCATTCACTCAGACGGCTACACAAGCTTCGAACGCCGCTGGGGAAGAAACTACGAGCGAGCAATCTGCGAATTTGGCGAGACACTACTCTACCTTCCACCACAACACAAGAAACTCCCAAAAGCAGACCTACGGATGCAGAAATGCATCTGGCTCGGAAAAGTTTCCGAAACCGGAGAAAACTACGTCGCAACGGAACAGGCGTACAAAAGGTACGAACAGTGCGGAGACTACAACCGGACTTCAAATACGACCTCGCACTATTGAACAAAGTTTCCGGCACACCGTGGGCACCACGACGGAACACCTACAACCCATCGTTCGCAACACTGTTGGATGCGCAACTACCACCGTCAGAGAAAAGAAGGTCCACGCAAGATTTCGGACAACAAACGAACGCTACGGACGACATCGTTGCGGAACCCGCAACAAAACAACAACGCACCACACCACCTCCACGACTTCCGTCAACATCGACGTCAAGTTCACGACCACTACCGGATAGTCCGATGGCTACTTCACCAACCGGACGACAACATCCACCACTCCCAGCACCACCTCGACAAACACTACGACGTTTAACTCCGGAAGAAGTAATGCAACCCACTAAAGCACAGAAGACCTCAAAGGACACTACAATCAGATCAACGGAGCAAGCAACCAAAGAACCACCACCACTACGACAGAAAATTAACGCAGTGACACTTCCCAACGGCAAATTCATCACACCCTACACAAACGACGACACGTCAGAAGACCAACCCATAATCTTCGACAACGAAGGTTACGACGAAACACAACTACTGGAAGGAATGAAACACGAGTCAAATCAAATGAAGCTACATGACGTCTACGACGAAGTAGATGCGTCTACCGTCGACGACAACGTCATAAGAGAAGCGACACCTACTAGATGGGTACACAGGAAGAAAGGACCAGGAGTACGAAGTCGAATCGTCGCAAAAGGCTACACAGAGAAGATCGAGGACGAAGACTCCGTCTACGCCTCTACACCAATGTTCACGACACTCCGGACACTTCTCGCGCTACAAATGTCACGACCAAACTGGATCGCGCGACCAGGCGACGTCTCTACAGCATTTCTACACGCACCCATCGCAAAAGACCACGACGGTAAACAACGTGACGTCTACCTTTGGCCACCTAAAGAACTTTGTCCACAACAGGACAAAATCTGGCGACTAAAGAAAGCCATGTATGGACTACGCAGTTCACCAAAAGCATGGCAGGACTACCTGGCTGAAGTGTTACAAAAGCTCAGCTTTGTAAGACTAAAGTCAGAACCTAACGTCTACACCAATGCAACTCGCGACTGCTACATCATGGTCTACGTGGATGATCTCTTGGTACTTGGTGACAAGACTACTGTCGACTCCACCTTCGAGGCCATCCAGAAGCAGGTCCTACTCAAGCACATCGGCTACCTCGAACCTGGCAAACCACAACAATTTCTTGGAAGAAACATCGACCACTTTGGCAACTACTGCGACCTGGGACTAAAGGACTCCTACATCGACAACATGCTCGAGGAGTCTGGAATGAACAACTGCAACCCAGTGAACACTCCAGGAATTGCACACTACAAACCGACAATAGAAGATGAAGCACTACTTGACCACGAACAACACAAAAGGTACAGAAGGATTGTTGGCAAACTACAATGGTTAGCATACACACGACCAGACATTGCATACTCCACAAAAGAACTAGCACGAGACCTCACAGCACCTACAGAACTTTCACAAAAGAGAGTCAAACATCTACTACGCTACTTGCACGGCACCAAGCACTACAAATTCACCATAGAACCAACAACAACACTCAGAGCAAACACTAACAACATCCTGGATCTCGACGTTCATGTCGATGCCGACTGGGCAGGATGCCCTACTACCAGGAAGTCAACTTCAGGTTTCAACATCATCTTTTTAGGAACAACAGTTGCATTTGGCAGCAGAACACAAGCTACAATAGCACTCAGCTCAGCAGAGTCTGAACTCTACGCCATTTGCACAGGAGTTAATGAGGGACTACACCTCAGAAACTTCCTACTTGAAACCAACATTTGCAGCAAGCTAAATCTACGCATCCACACAGACTCCACAGCAGGCAAGAGCATTGCTACACGACAAGGCACTAGCAAACGAGCAAAACACATCGACCTTAAATTTCTCTACACACAAGACCTCATCAAGCACGACATCATCAGAATCCTCAAAATCAACACACTACACAACAGCTCAGACTTGTTCACAAAATACATTAGCAAAGAAACACTACAGAGGCTCATACAGAGCATTGGCATACGTGTTTAGCACTACGAACAACAACTGTTTCACAACTGTTGCGCATCAATCACAACAGTTTGTATATGGCCATATGTAACTACCTGCATTTAAGTAACAGTAACAGTAACAGTGACTACAAGTAATAGTAATTGTAACCACCAGTAATTTGCACTTGCACTTTTGGCGGCTTTTGGCGGCTTGAGTCAACACTGCATGTTGTTTTGTGTTTTACTACATGCCCGCATGTGCTTTTGTGAGCTAACATTGGCTCACTACTGTCTGCCCCGTTTCACTGCGTCTCGATAGGCCAAACTACCAGCAATGGCTGGAACTACGCCCATGGATGCGACTACGCTGGATGTCATGCCGATGGAGGTTACTACATCAGCGCCAGAGACTACTCTGCCCGTCGAACAACAGGCTGGCAGTACTACACCGGACCGTGTTTTTCACACCACCGGATCGGCAGGGCACTACCGACTCCGGCAGCATGGCTACTTTGGCCACTCCACCACCTGAGGCCTACAACTCCCTCAACTACAACTTCAATCACCAACTACCCACACCGGCACCTTTCTACAGACCCGACGACATCTTGGCACACCTCACTACAACTGAGAACAACCTCCCCGACACTCCAGCGATCGACCGCAGAACTACTTCAGGGTCTACGCGGCTTTGACGCTCGAGGAGTTCCAACTACTAAGTCAACAACAAACTACACCCATCCCCGAGCTCAACTACAACCTACCAGTTCACGACCTACCTTCAGACCTACGGATGCCACACTACGACTCACTACCTCTTCACCTACGTCTTTCAGAGGCAGTCAACTTCTACTACTACAACCTTACATCACTACACCTCACAACCCAGTACACCAACTCGATGGTCATTATCCAACTACACGTTCCACCAGAAGTTCTACTACGATTTGTCAGCGCTGGACAACTCGTCAACTTCTGCCGCGACTACGTGAGCCACATGATTTCCATCAAAGATGAGCACCACCTACCTACACGCCAGCTACATCAACGACTACATCGAATCACGTACAACTTGGACCAGATCACCACTACATTCAACCTGTCCAACAACTTCATTTGGAACTATCACATGCCCCTGTACCTACCAGAACTACTCAACTACTTCGACAAACCACAACAACTTCAAGACCACCACTACAAGTCCATCAACACGATGCTACACAAAAGTGTCACCTACTACGGCATCACCCTCCTCACGGCTACAAATCTTCCATGCAACACAAACTACTACTCCACAACTACCTCACTACCACCGGCCAAGCACTTGCACCACCGGACTGCGACTACAACCGCCTTCGTGGCGGTCCAGACTTCCTCAACACATTCACTACCAACCACTATGCAGGCTTGGACTACCGCATCAGCCAAGTCCAGAACTACCGAGTCCAACACTGGACTAAGCACACCTGATCTCCAGGTGGAGCTGCAACTACGTGCTGTACTACGTCATCGTACTACGAGATGACTGAGAACCAACTAGGGTTCTTGTACAGCAATTTCACTTTTCTGATCATTTGAAGGTTAGTTGAACTACAGACAGCAGCGCTGTAGATACCTACCTTCGGTCATCTTTTTTAAGAGACTACATGCCTGTTCGCTACAGTAGCATCGGCAAACAACATGTGCATTCGGTTTTGCCACTACTGTCAATACCACCTTTTGGGTCTATGGTTAAAGGACACTACAAGGTCTTTTAACCAAGGGGCCGTGTCAAATATCATGTTGCACTACTTGTCACTTGTGCATGCATGATGTACACTACCCGACTGCAGGCCTTGAGTCTACTAGGAAAAGAGTGCATGCTGGCTGACTACATTTGTGTTTGTGATAACAGAACAACACTTGCACTAGAAGTAAAGTATCAACGTATTTTAACGCAAAAGAGAGAGAGAGAGAGAGAGAGAGAGAAAAAAAAAAAAAAGAAGAAAAAAACAAGACTGGCCTCATGGAAACATTAAGACGCCCCAGAGAGCAGAGGGAAGCCCCCCTTTGGAAATTCGAGAAAAAGAGAACACTCCCAAGGGAAAGTCTCTCTCTTAGAGGGAAGCAGAAGAGACCAAAACAGCTCTGTACGACTGAGTCTCCATAAAGAAGTCCACCACAAGCCTCTCACGAGAGCTGGAATCCAAAAGGCCACGTGCCACACACCACAATGCGCGGTTGAAGTCGTTGCTCAGCTCGTTGACCTTGTGGTGCCTGAGGAATAAAACTCTTGGGAATCTTCCAAGGTTGCTCAGACAGGCTCGGTTTCCCTCAGAACGAAACTGGGCAACTGGACAATTGCACACACAACACTGAAAAAAGCCCCGGTAGGGAAAAAGAGAGAAGCACACAAACAAAGGAACGAACGAGCGAACGAGCAAGCAAGCAAGCAAACAAACAAGCAAACAAACACAGACACCAAGGAAGCACCGCCTCATTTTTGGCGCCCACCGGCCCAACAGAAAACCTCGAGAAACGCAAGACGACCATTTCAGGGCGCGGCGCTTCGCCCGGTCGTCGAACATCACCGCTGGGCAGCGGCACACGGCGCCGTCGCCCTGGCTTCGGCACCCGCCCAGTGAGCCGTCGCTCGCCATGCACGCAGCAAGGCGATCTTGAAGCGCGCGGGCACAGGACACAGCACGCTCCTGACAAGTTCCCCGAAATCTTTGAGGCCCTCTGCACATGAGTGAAGAACACCTGACAAGTTCCCCGGAATTCTCTTAGCCCCTCTGATGAGTGAGGAACAATATGTTTGGAGACTCGCTTGCTCTCCTCTTCGTCGGGGACGCAACACCTCGCGTAGGTCCAGAACTCATTGAAGCACGAGACGTTGCCAGCGTTCCCAGGTCTGCAGCAGTCGGAAGCCGCAACCTTGCCCCAATGGGAATTGTGGAGTTCCTGTTCGCATCCATCAACTTGTTTGGGTATTTCAAACCAAAACTGGTCCAGGACTTCTCTTCGCGTCCATCAACTTCTTGGGGTGTTTCCAACCAAAACTGGTCCACTGGTTCAGTGCATCTACTGCTTGGCCCTCAAAGTTTTGCTTTTTGCGCCTGCACGCGGGGCGCCATGAAGCAATACTTCCGCGGGAAGCGGCCCACCACCAGCCCCGTCCTCTCCAGCACCGAGCTCTCGCACCCGCCGGAGCCGGTGCCGCGCGCCGGGCCGACTTGGCCGAGTCGGCTGGAGGTGTCGGAGAGGCTGGAGGGAAGCGCCTCCCCTCAGGGCGCGGCCGAGAAACATGTTGGTTTCCCCCAACGTCGCCCTAGGAAACTCACCAAAAAGAGGCCACCGAAAGGAAACCAAGGAAGCTCTCAGAAACAGCTATTTTTGTTGGTCGCCATCCCCATTTCCACCCTTCTGTTTGTGTGTGTGTCGCTCTTTTGGGATCGGTCTAAAACCAGACACAAGGGGTACCGACGCCCCGAAAAAGAAGACGACACCCTGCTGGCAGGTCCACTTGCTGGCGCGCTCTGGCGCCTCCTCCCCGCCTGCGCAAATGCCTGTCGAAAGCCACAAGCCCAGCACGCCCAGCACGCCCAGAACGAGCAAGGCCACCAGCCAGAGGGATGGGGTCCGCCCCATGGCCGCGCGGCCAGGCCATGAGGCCCCCGGGGGGGGGGGGGCCGATGGGTTGCGATGGGAGGGGCCGTTGCGAACCAGCACCCAAAGCACTCGATGCTGACCTGTGTGGTTCTTTTTCCGAACTTCAGCGTGAAGTATGAGATTGCCGTCTAGCTAAGCTGGACACCTAGTGTCAAATCGCCTCTTTTCAAAGTCACAGGCTATTGACAGCTTCAAGACTTGCGTGGATATTCTTAGCGTTGTTACTTGGATGTTTGTTTCCAAGTTCGTAAGTGATTGAGGCTGGCCAGTTGAGGTACAACCCCGTAATAACAAGGTTAACAACAAACTTGCTAGCTTGGCCGAACACCCAGGCAGGCATGGACATTTTGGTGCTTCTCCTTTGCACTCGGATCGTAGCTTCTTCAGCTATAGGCCTGGCAATGGCAACGCGGTTGCATCACCTGCTCGTCACAGCACTTCTGGCGGAAGCGAATAGCACCTCCTAAATAATGGACTTGAGAGCTTGAGACGCTGTCCACTTCTTTTTCGCTCACAACTCTTCGCTCTGCAACTCCTCGCACGGAGAGATAACACTCGGGCCGAAACATTGCAATCCCAATTGCTTTTTTCCTCGTTTTGTGGTGAACTAGCGAATCCCGGCTCCTATGCTCGTCCCGCAAAAATGCAGGAACTTGTCAGCCGAATTGCAGATTCGCCATTCCCCAACATTTGGCCAGCTGCAAATGGACTGCTTGACCACGTTCAACCACGCGGGCAAAATATGCAAAGTCAACCCCAAAACAAAGCTGTGGATTCTGAGGGACGGTGTCCGCCCCCAACAAAAACAAGAATCCCCTCTTGAACATGAAATGTACCAACCTGGCACCTTGGAAAACGGAACCAAAGACGAAAGCCTGCGTCACGCCCAAAATTGGATTCATCCTGGATCCCCATGCCCAGCTCGCCCAGAGCTCCGAACGGCCCTCTCCTTCAGCCTGTCCCGATGTTTCTGCAGCTGCTCAGGGGTCATGACCTGAGGGCCGCACCCGAATCGGATGGCTCGGATGGCTTCACTTCCCACCAAACCCGAGGCTCCGCGCGATGAACATCTTGAGATGTTGAGAACCAAGTCACAAGGATTGCCAGTGAGTCACTACTCACTTGCCACAAGCACAAGGCTTTGCATCTAGTTTTGCCTCCTTTTCTCTTTTGAAAATTTCCATGGGTCACAACCCCGTACCCCAGTGAAAATCCCAATCCCCACCAAAATAGACTGAAATGGGTGGCGCACCTATCCCCAAAATGGGATACCATTGGTTTTGACCAACAGCCAAATCCAGAAAGCGCACCTTCAGTGAGAGCGGCCCCTGGCCATCCTTTTTCCCTCCGATTCATCACAAGTGGGCGTCGTTTTTGGAGTTGGTACCGCTTTTGTGGTGTAAATGAAAACCCACCAAAAAGAAAGACACATTATTATTATGTTTTTGGGGGGGAGGGGGGAGGGTATTCTCCAAAAGAAGGACTCACCCACAAATCCTCAGTCTTGGAGGCCGACGGAGGCGTCGGACCCGGTCTTCTTCAGGTACTCCTGCACCGCTTCCACTCCGCCCTCCTGACGCGACTCTCAGTCGATGGAGAAACCCCGTGAGGGAATGGTTTGGGGCAAGGATCCCGAAACCGAGTTTAAACTCAAGCAAGGGCGCGAGCAAATAGAGATTCTGAAGGAGGGGGGGCCCAACGTTGGGGACACACCCAACTCGGCCAAAGCCAGAGGAACCAACAGGGCATGGTCGTGGCTCTTCAGTAGACACCATTCAAGTATGAACAAATACGCCCAGGTCGTATCCCCAACAGCACCCCCCCTGAACCGTCCAGAACCTATCAGCAACCAAAACCCAACCCTTCGCAACCTTCAGCTGCAGAGCTGACCACTGCAGAGCACTTGTAGCTTTCAGCTGGAGCAAGCAGCAAGCAGCAGGCAGGGACCAGCAAGGAAGAAAACCTTCTCCTTGACTAGTCACCCCGCATTTCTCCTGCCTGGCTTGCCTAGTGCCGGCTCCAGGAATCCTAAAAGCTGGGACTCCTGATTTCAAGGATCGACAACCAAGAGTCCCATCTTGTGCTCGAAAAGAGACAAGATGCTAAACCACCCAAGAAATGGTGAATCAAGTGTAATATGCGTACATAGTTGGGCAACCGAATTGCGAGGAGAAGCGGGTTGCGGGGTGGAATCCTGACAGTACATGCCAGTTGCATGTCTTTGGTGGACGTGAACCGAATCTTAGAATGTTTGGCATGCGACGGCTCTAAACAAATGTGGCACGCTGAAACGCAGGCTTAGGCTTTGGCCTTGGCTTCATTCTCATGTTCTACTCGCCTGCATCTTGCTCGATGGAGATGCTGGGGCTGAAAAACTCGTGCCCATTGTGGCCATTGTGAGCTGATGTTTGGAAGCAAAATCACGCGGAAGCGGGTTCTGGGGCGCTGCATCTTAAGCGCGCTTGGAAGCACTAGTATGGCTAAGCGGGTTCGGGGGCATGTGCTACCCAATCTTCCACGCGGTTGACATTAAGTGGATTTAGGGAGGATGGTTGAAACTCCACATCAAAGCGGGGTGCGAGTCAACAGGTGCAAGAAAGCTGCTAATGGTTCCGGGGTTGTTTTCTTTCAAGTGGGCGGCCCCGATTACTGCACACATCGCAGCAGGATCGGACTCGGATCGCGCCCGGATCGATCCCAGAGCGCTCCCGGATCGCGTCAAGACGCAGCTAGATTCTGGCTCTGAATAAATGCTTGGGGTGGAAACCAAATGGGTGCCTTTTGTTTTGGGACCCCAATCTCTGGTTGTTGTCCCTCACGTTTTCCTTTAAACCAACCCGAACAAGGTCACCATGAACAGAAAGCACCCCCCAAGTCTTGGCTCCTCCGCAAGCTTCTGCAGCATCTTCTGGTCCGGAGGCCGTTTCCGTCCCCCGCCACCCTTGCCGGTCGCCTGGAGTCGGTTTCTGGCGCCTTGAGCCATCATCGAAACCGATCTGTACCAAAAGAGTAAAACCATTCTGGTTGGGACTTGAAAAGGTTTTCTGGATTTGGCAGTTCCACCTCTTGGCACAGCTCCGGCCACCCAACAAGCATTCAACTTCTGCAACAGTGAGGTGGCCATGGGACCCGATCGGTAAATGGACGCATGGACTAAAACCTGCAGTCCCCTGGTAGTTTAATTTTGACCCGCACCCAAGTGTGAAAACAAAGTTTTTCTCGCAAACGGCGTGAGCTGTGACAAGCCACACATCGGAAGCCCGTGTTGTAGGAGCCGCTGTCCGCGGTGTTGCCCATGCGGGTCACCACCGTGGCCTTGCAGATCGAGCAAAATGAGGCATCAAAACCCGGTGTTGAAATGACTGACCCAGAACCATGTAAAGAATTTAGAAGCCGGCCGCAACTATTCATGGCTGGGAGTGTCCCTTATCTACCCGGGCGTTGATTGTGGCTAGAGATAGCGGCGCTCTCTGTCGTGTCATCTGGGACTTTGCCCAGGAATCAAGACTCAAAGCCCAACAAACGAAGAATACCGTTGAGCTTCGAAATCTGCTCCTCCAGCTCTGCCACTCTAGCGGCAAGCTGGGAGGGAGCAGTCAAATCAGAAACGCCCAAAACGACCAAGGCGCACCCATGTGTGTCATTGTGAACCCGCGGAGGAGACACTGAGGCTCCTCTGAGGCCCATGCGGGATCTAAGCAACGTTCTCATCTCGGACCAGCATTCATTCTGTTGTACCAGCCAACACGAAGGTTCCTCCTCCTGTTCAGACAGAAGCGAATCCTCCTTTGATCAGGAAGAAGCCCTCCGGCGCCAGATATATTCTCTCTGAGCTGCTCCATGGTGATGTACAGCTTTCTCAACGGCTTACCAAGCATAAGGTTCTTTGCCCAGTTGCTTATTGTCACTGCCCGCGAAAGTCCAGAAAAGCCGCCCATCTCCGTTCGTAACCTGCATCGTCTCTGGATTCAATGAAGCTGCACATATATTCCATATCCTTTTTCAGCTGCGAAGCTGGCTCAACTTTGCAAAAAGCAACGATACCCGGAGCTTTTCTGGAATCAATACAAGTCTCCTGCAGAGCAAAGATTGAAAATTCCCTGTTCAAAACCAAATTGAGCTTGTCAGAAGGGCTGTTGAAATTCCAAGAGCCAATAAATACCTCGTTGCCAATGCCTCCAAACAAGCATTCATGCAAGTAAATCGAAGCAAAGTCAGTAGTCAGGTCGGAATAACCTCCACGAACATCAGCATGCTGAGGACCTAGTCACAGTTGACCATGCGCACCATCATCTTCAAACAAGTTAGACGCTGCAAGGCCAGCCTCCATTCTTGAATCTTGCGCTTGTGTCTCAGGCCATTGAAGCAAAGATTGGAGAGCTTGAAGCTGTGCTGTCATAGCTGCAATCTCGTCCCTGGACATTGGTCCTGCCTGCCCATCAATCAGGCTCCCGCAGTATTTTGTTGCAGAGGAATTGCCATCTGCCATGTCCGTGTAGCCTGGGAGTCGGAGATTTCGGAGTTCAATCTCTGGTGAGAAGTTACCAGGCTCCCCCCCTTACGTCTGCCCCTTTCTTCTTCAAATATGAGCGCAGGGCTGCGACAGTCCAGTCTACAGTTAAAAAGCGTATTCTTGAAAAGCCCAAAGTGTGAAAAAATCTTTGACAAAATCCAAAGCCGACTCTCTTTGTGAGGGGGACGCCGCCCCTCTTCAACCAAACCGGTTCCATAACAGAGGAAGATTTCCGAAGAACTTCTGCCAATTTGCTAGTGGGGATACGAGCGTTAATACCCCACTGCCCCTCAATCTCCATCAAATTCCAAACATCCACAATCTCAAAACTATCCTGTTGGTGCATTCATTGGCGTATAGCAGGAAACTGCTTCTGTCGAACGGCATTCTGAATATCTCTATCATCTCATTCTCAAAGCACGCGTGCGCTGCGTGATCTGTGTAGTTGTCTGAATTGTCTTTCGAACTGTTTCTGGCGCCACACCTGACAGAACATGAAGATGCCCGGTCAGGAGAACTGTATCCTGGAAACTGCCTTGAGACTTGCGCAGTCTGGTTTTCATTTCAACACGTCCTTTTACATCGGGCTGCGGCATAATGAAAGCCACATTGAAACTGTCGCTCTTGATTTTGCTGGCAAGGTGCTGAGCCAGCGCTGCGTCCTGAACCAAGCAAAGACCATGAGCTCCAGGATTGAAATCTGAAACACTCCTGGTGGGGCAGTTCCAATCCTCCGGAATGAGCTCAAACGTCGGCTCAGACAGCACATCCTTGCCCTTTTTCCCTTTTCCTTTAGGGTTGTCACTAGCCTCGCGGCCTTTCCTTTAGCTCGGCGTTCTCGGACCGAATTGTCACTGCTTTTCCCTTATCATCCACCAGGTAGAAGAGGCGCGCACTCATCAAAAGAAATACCAAAATCATCCTTCACCCTCAGGCCATCCTGCTCGACCTGCCACTCCCAACTAAACCCATCGTCAACACTGAAAGGAATGGTAGGAGAACCATAGCAGAATTCCGGGTCGGATTCATAACTGCAACCTTCTCTCCCTGGCTTTCATGCCCCTCTTGAAGATGTTGACTCGTGGCCCGAAGTTCCAAAATCGTCCTCTGTTGTTCTTCAATGTCTTCTTGTTGCGAGTTCAAACATTTAGCAAGCCTTCGATTTCGCTTTCTCGACGTGCTTTGTGGCCGGATGGCTTCATCAATAGCAGGCTGAGCTTCTCTACATGTGAAGCAAAAGAATCCGACGTAACCAAGTCTTCTTCAAGGTCCACATGGGTTTGGTCAGAAGCCCCCCCTAACAGGTCCAGCATGCTCAAGAGGTTCGAAACGTCTCGAGCGAGTCCACCTCTGACATGAAAGTACCGCCCCAAGGCAGGATCAGTTTCTTGCGGAAGACTGAAAGAGTCCAAGAGCACTGACCGAACCTTTTCAACCGTGTAATCATCAACTCCCAGCATTCCAGCAATTGTGGGGGGTGGCACTTTCCTGAACAAAACGATGTGGTCTGATTTTCCAGCTGGTAAACTTGTCCATAAGAGCGCGCTGATCATCTTCCTTTACGTGCATCGTTGCCAGGGCAATTGCATCTCTAACATCTCTGTCGTGCTCTTGATCAAGAAACTGTTTTGCTCTTTCTTGTTGAACCGATTTGCACATAAGCTTACGACAGGCTGTTTTGAGCCCAAGAACATGAACCTCTGACATGTTGGTCAAAGACATAATTGTCTTGGTTTTCTCAGCCAGAATTCGTGCATAGGTCTGATACTGAGCCAAGGAAACAGGTCCCTTATCTTGTCATTGACTGGTTTGAGCTGCAAATAATGTGCCAATTTCATAATATCTAATGGGGCATCCTGCTCACGCATGCCACCCTGTATCACTCTTTTGCGTGGCAAGGGCGGCCGTCCGCCTGCACCCAGGGATACACTACTGAAGGACGGCTCTGACTTCTCCTTCGTCCAAATAGATACACTGGGTTCAAATCGCCGTTTGCGAGGAAGCGGAGGTCGATGATGCCCTTTCTGATCTGCATCCTTGTCTTTGACAGGTGCCGTACGAGTCCTCCTCCTCCTCTTCTTCGGTGTTTCCGGTTCCTCCTTTCTCTTCTTTGGTGGTGGTGTCCCATTCCTCGGTCGTTCATAGCTGGGAGCCTTTGAAATCATGCAGGTGTGTGAGAAGTGGACCTCAAGATAACTCCGGTCCTTCTTTGCTTTCCTCGAAGCAGTAGTTCTCCCCGCAAAATTCGGTGGCTGCTCCAAATTCTCAAAATCATTGTCAGTCGAATAACAAGAGCACTCATCACTTCCTCCACCTCAAATGTTTTGTAGGAACCCCCATAAAATGATTGCAGGCAGGAAAGCTCCTGCATTGAAAGCAACCCCCCTCTGAGCGAGAACAAGGTCAGCCAAGCGTGACAACCGCAAAAACAAAAGTCGGGAAGAGCAAAAATGGGGGTCTTTTTCTAGCGGATCCCCAAAATGGCTTCGGTTTTCCCTTGGGTTGGGTTGCCTTTGAGGTTGGTTGGTGGTTGGTTGATTTCCTAGGTAGACATTTGGGATGTCCAACCACTCTTGAAAAAGCTCCCTCTTGCAAATCGTATCTCTCCCCGAGAGTGCGCCTTGTGGTTGAACTCCCCATCAACGCTGTCGATGAAGGACCCGCCCTTCAGGGTCCACTGCTCCTCCTCGCTCTGCCTCCGAAGCTGCTCGCTCGCACAAGAGCCGCATGGCTCCCGACAGACAGCGGAAACGGGGCTGAAGCCGTTTGACTGCTCCTTGACGCAACAAAACCCCATCGAAAAGGACTCGCCAAGCACTTGTGGGTTCTTTTCTCTATTTTCTCAGGCCCACAGGCACAGCCTCTCGAGCACGCCTCTCCCAGCAAGTCTCATAAAGCTTGCTTTTTGTTTGGTATGGGTCAATTTGCAGATATGGGGGTTGGTCAAAAGGTCCTTTACATAGGATGACCACGGAGGAAACCACTAAAACACAAAAATTACCCGTGGTCTTTTGAGGGCCAGGAATATTGATAGACCCCCATGTCGTGGGCAAGAGATCTACCAAAACACCTATACGAGTGAAAAAGAACAAAATAGATGAGCAAGTAATGAAGAAATTATACCTATAAGCTGCAATGTGCATCCAATGTTGAGTTCAATTGCTGAAGTGTATCGAGACAAAGACTCGGCCGCCAGACCTGCCTGCTTCGGAAAGGGTCTGCCGTCCACTCCCAAACGTTCCCCACCTGGCCACAAATCTCATGAAACTCATGAAAACACGCTGGAAGATCCAAAAGTCGACAACACATACACATACACACACACACACTCATACTGTTTCTACCACTGACAGGCTGATAAGCTACCTTGAATTCACCGGCTACAAGAATCTGCTCAAAGGTGTTTCGGACAACCACCTGAAATATTCGAACCTTAGAAAAGAAGCTGAAAGTCAGGCAACCACTCTCCGACTGGCATCTGGAAACAGAACTGGCAACCAGCGCTGTCTTGTTTCCAGAATTGGGGGTTCCCCTTTTCCCCTTGCTGTACACCAACCACCCCAAAACAGGGCACCCTCAAAAAACACGGCAAGACCTCGACGACCTTTCGGAAATTCTTGGCGCGGCAGTGGAGTACAGCCCGTAGGAGTTCGCGGGGAAGGCCTAGCGGGCCCAAAGTTTGTTTCACACGTCGCTTAGGTTGAGCTTGTTCCCTTTTGCAGCGGAGGATTCCTCGAGAGAAAGAAAGAAAGAAGGGGTTCCCTTTCCCCAAGATAGACTAGAGGTTCCACTTTTCGGGGTGAACAACCCACTGGGCTTCTTTTTTCGCTGTGATCCAAAAGTGGAACAGTGAATACTCGACATCCGCCAGGCCTGCCTTGACAGGGCTGAGCCCACGATAGCCGTCCTGAGCTTATCCCATCAAAGAAACAGCTCTGGATTCAACAGTGAGGTGTCTTTTTGAGGGTCCCAAATACTCCCAAGTATGTGTGTTCATTGTGGCTTTCCAATTGATGAAAACCACCATAAGAAAAAGACACGCCCAACACAACCCGCTGACCTCACGGTTGCAAGCGTGCGTCTTGCGCGCGGAAGCCACGCCTCTCCCAAATCCTCCTGCGGGAAGGGGCCCTGCCAAATGTTCATCATCCACCTCCGGACATCTAATCGTCGCGCGTCTACACCGCCAATCGAAGGGATTTCCTAATCTATGCTTCACTCAAAAGAAGTGTGCAGAATATGACAATAGCCAATATTTCCTAATCTAAGCTTGGCTGGATGCAGAAACGTGCAGAATATGACAATAGCCATTGGAAACTTGCCTAGCTTCACCAACAAAGTCTTCATACGCGCCACCAACACAGCCAAACACTTGCAGCGAAGCCTGCCGTTCGCAGTCGGGCGAGCATCGTCCCAAGGATAGAGGGACCTCGCAAGTCTCACCGGGAAATTGAAGTACCGGAAACCAGCAGTGCGTGCCAAGTGCCTCCCTTCAACGATTTCACTTGTTTCGTCCGAGGCCGCCGCTCCTTTCGCTTTCCTCTGGCCGCGTTCTCCCACTCTGCCTGGCATGCACATTCCTCTCTCCACCCCTTCAAGAATTACTGGGGAAATCTCCTTGGACGCCGAAAAGTTGAAAGATCTCGAAACCCTCAGCCCTTGATCTTGTGAGTTTGGATCATGTTGGAGCAGATCACCTTTTGAACACCACGGAAACCGAGTGAGGGATACTGACGAGACTCTTCCATATTGTCTGTTCTTGGGGCTCCCAAAACAGCTTCGGCTTCCTTTGGATCTCCCTTTACCACCAAAACAGGAAGACCCGCCAAACGACATCGACCCATATCAACCTGTCTCTTTCGCCGGGTCCGACTGATCCATGAGGCCTCCGTCGGCAGCCTCTTGCCAGCCCACTCGCAGTAGGCCTGCGGATTCGGAAAAAGCCCGAGCGGGAGGCCTTCGGATGGCAATGCTTGCTGATTCTCAGGGAATTACCCCTACCCACAATGTTGTGTGGTTTCCTGTAAGGGAATCCCTAGGCTCATTCCCAACACACTCTCAATCGTTCCCTGCTGAGCACCAGCAAGAATGTTCTTGTGTTGGTCAGTGCGCTGTTGCGTGCGAGATCAAACTTGGAAAACTGATCGATGAGTCGCTGACACACACACACACACACACACACACACACACACACACACACACACACACACACGCACGCACGCACGCACGCACGCACGCACGCACGCACGCACGCACGCACGCACGCACGCACGCACGCACGCACGCACGCACGCACGCACGCACGCACGCACGCACACGCACACACACACACACACACACACACACACACACACACACACACACACACACACACACACACACACACACACACACACACACACACCCACACACACACACACATGAGAAGTGACAGGAGAATCATGGGGCCAAAGGGGAGGGTATTTGGGCCTCTGTCAAACTTCTGGGAACCTCGGTGCCCAGAATTTAACAGCAAATATTTGTGTCAACGCCCAACAAGACCTGTCTCAATGAGGGGAGAGTTAAAGGCCCGCAAATGAGATCCTCAGGCACTGGCAATGGCATCGGTCCAGCTGATGTGCACAGCCGGGAACTCGTCCCAGTTGGCCCTCTGCTTGGAATCACTCCTTGATGTCGGGGCTTGCTCCAAATTGTGCCATACACAAAGTCCTAATCCGGATCGCGAGTGAATGCAGACCCGTATTTGCCTGATGGTGTTCTGGGCCCAAGGAGGAAGGAAACTGGGAACATCCACAGAAACAGCAAGTGCGAGGGCAAGCATGGCTCGTCTCTTCTGAGCGTACCTGAGTTTGCAGGTTTGACAAGAACCATGAGTAAAACCCAAAACATGTTAGAAAAACCAACAACCGAACTGCACCACGTCGTCCGAGTCCTCACAACAAGGAATCCAGCCACATGAAAACACACGTACGGTTCAAGCAGAGCGCCTGGCCCCTCGGGTTGTCGCCACCATGCTCCCTCCACTGCGACCTCGATTTGATATCTGCGCCTCCTGGCACCTTCCCCGTAGTGTGTGTGTGAGTGTGTGCGTGTGCGTGTGCCTAAACAGGGAGCCCTACAAGAGCTTGGTCCCCTGTCGATGTCTCTTACATCATAATCAAGAAAGCAAGAACATGCTCCTTTCCAACTTCTTCAACGAGCCCACTGCCCACTGTGGAGCATCCTGAACTGCTCGCTCGGCTTCTAGCAGCGCCGCCTCACTCCAGCGTCCGAAAAGTCGGCAAAAACGGCTGTTTTGACCATGAACTGCTTAAATGTCGCGACATCATTCATGAGTTTCCCAGAATGCCAGGCGATGCCAGGCGCCGAACACGCTGTCAGCTTGGCTTTCAGATGACTGCGAAGCGGATGTTCGTGGAATGGAAACTCTGGGACCTGTTGAGCAGCACCCTTTGACCCTTCACTTTCCCAAGATAGTCGCGGTTCACTACGGGTGTTTCTTTTGTAGCCCAGTTTCAGCACGAAGCCAAAGGGAGAGGGGGAAACAGGGTGTCCCTGAAAAGAAGGCTCCCCCACATGCCCCAGTGCCTCGCTCAGCGAGCTGTTGATCACGAAGCTCCAGCCAAACTTCTCAGCATCCGTCCTGCCAACAGCGTCTAAACCACTCTTCTCGTTTCACCAACCCGTTTTGCTTTGCCTTTCCACTGGACCAAATGTTGCTGAAAATTGCGGGGATGCCCAAAAATTGGCATACCCTTTCGGAAAGTCAAAAAAAATGGGAACCCGCAGCCTGCAAACAAAATTGACTGTTTCGTCGACACCTGGTCGCTGACCCTTTAGGCCATCTTCAAACAAACCCAAGATCGACGTTTGACCTTCGCCCGGTGCGCGAAAGGCTGCTCCTGTACTTCGTGGCTCTCACAAACTTCCGGAAGTGAGCGTTGGTCACCGGAGTCTCATCGATCTTGTACTCCTGAGGCCCGGTGAGCGGCTCAAGCTTTGAACTCGGCTGCGGCCAAGAAAGCCGCCCAAAAAAAGTGTGTGCATTCCCAAAACCAAACAAAAAGAAACTTTCGCTCGAGTGAATACGATGCGTTTACCATCTCCCACCAGTCATTTGACCTCCATCCAACAACCTTCTCGCCTGCAGCGAGACCTGCACGGTGCCCGGGGCACCCGAGAGTTCGTCCCCGCCCATAGTGAAGCTGCGGGCCTCACAGGGGCCCGACCCATCGCCCTCCGGAGGGGTTGCCTGAAGCCTTGCAGAATGTTTCTCCAAATGGATCTTTTTGCGTTGCGCCACCGAACTCCGGATGCATTGGCAACAACTCAGGTCACGTTTCCAAAGTTCCAAAACCGGGGTCCCGGCGGGGATCTTCTTCAGCGCCGCACCCGGCTTCTTCCCGCCTGCTGCATCGCAGAGAAGGCCTTGGCAGCCGAGTTTTTCGCCCCGCGCGCCGAGCACACTGGGCAAAGCGGCGCTTAGGCCAGGGCCCAGCAGTGTAAAAACTCTCCACATACGGCCAGCGCAACGGGGCCAAGGTGTTTCACTGCGGTTTTTGTATAATGATGTCCTCGCCTGTTTTGGGTGCACAAACAAAGCAATAGGCTGAGAATCAAGCAGCTGCCATTGTAAAATCGACAAATCTCGCGGGTATCTTGAAGGTTCCCATAGAAACGTCATGCACTGCGGGATGCTCTTTCAGAGTTTTGAGCTATTTCTGGCTGGCAGAGTCGGTCCAATACACCACAAAAGTCATAACCGGCATGCGCAGCGTTCAGGACATCATGAAGGTTTCACAAGCTACGGGTTTAAAACATAAGCCAAAATCCGGGTGTTCGAGTCGGACACAAAAATCGCGCACGTGACCCAAGTGGCTCTCCAATTCGCATTTGGCGCGCGGGCATTGGCCATGTCGCCATGTATCTTTCTTTGCGCAGGGACGGAAGTCTGCCCTCCATTCAATTCCCTGAAAATCAAAGTGTAGTAATTTTACATTTTACATGCGTGCCCAAAATTACTACACAAAAAAATGTTTTTGTGTAGTAAAATCGTTGTGAAATACAATGGGCAATTTTACCACACATTTACTACACAAAATTACTACACATGTTTATACAAATGTGTAGCATTTTTACTACGCTGTGTAGTAATTTTCTGTGTAGTAAATTTTGGTGAAATTTCCAAAGTGCATCCAAACTGCGTTCAAACTGCGTTCATGCAAACGGCATCAAACTACATCAAAACTACTACACTAAATTGCATCAAAACTACATCAAACACATCAACACTACATCAAACTTCATCAAATCTACATTTTTTAAGAGGTGGGACGCCCGTTTTTTTTGAATTTGGAACACAACGAGAGATACATCAACTATGTAGCACAACATGTCCAGTCACCCACAACTGCCAGTCTCATTGTTTGTGCGATCACCTTGCGAGCAGAAGGGTGATCTTGTGAGTCGTGGAACTGTGGGGCTGGGCAAAAAAGGTTTTGAAGGGAGATGCGGCATGATCAGTGGGACAACTGCAAGGGCTATATAGATTCGGAAGAACTGCGCAAAAAAACATGACAGGAAAGGTGACCTTGCGGGCTGAAACAAAAGCAGATATGGTTTTGTTTTTCAAGTGGAGTTCACTGAAACAGTTTTTGTTTCTTTCACAGTAGATACTGTGACGATGGTTGAAACCGCACATGTTGGATGGGCCCTCGTTGCTGGACAAAGTGGTGGCCGAGAAGAAGGCCTCCCTGAGGACACCTAAGAAGCCAGAAAAAAAAAAAACGTCCGCAGACCCAAACGCTGATGTTGATGGCGTGGAGAGTTGCTTGCGAGACTTCACGCAACGTCGATGTTGGTCGCCAGTGTCAGGGCCAACAAAGTGGAACAGGAACAAGCGACCCCAGCCTCAGTGGATGCTTGGTTTGGTGGATCTGTGCTACGAGATCATTGTGAAGCGAAGCTCTTGCGATCAGTTGTGAACAAGGCCATTTCCAAACTGCTGCTGCACGGTAGGGCCACAAACAACACATCGAGAAAAGACAGAGATTGGTCAGGATGTGGGATTTGTGATCCGTCTGATTCTTTACTGGTATAGAAAAGCTGCGGAGCAATCAGCTTGCTGCGATCAAGTCCTCAAGAAGTTGTCCTGGAGATGACTGAGATTTGCGATTGACAGGATCCGCGCACGGCTCAAGGCGAGGAGAGTCGGGGGCCAATGCATCTGCCCAGGGCTTTGTGATGGGCGACAAAGGCTTCGACAAGAAATCCGTCCCGGGTGCAGGGAACAGTTCAACCGGCGGGGGCGGCTCTGACGGCTCTTCCTCTGCTGGCGTAATTGGCGAAAGCTCGCGCGAAGGCTGTGCATCAGCTGTCTGGGGCATTGCCTCGGTCTCTGCCGTCTGAGCGGAGTGTGTGGAAGGCGATGGCTGCGATTGCTCGCGGGCCAAAGAGGCTATGCCCTCTGCCAGCCGTCGCTGATTCTCGGCTGTCATCTGCTGGAAATTCGCCAGAAAGGCTGCAAAGGCTTCCGGGTCAGGCTCCGGCAAAGCTGTAAGCACAGTGATTTGCTTAGGCCAACGGACATGCACGCAAGGCAAAAAACCGAAAACCGGGTCACGTGACGGCGTTGGCCGGACAGGAAGGCTGAATGCAAGGGTGAGGGAGCTAGGCAGTTCGTGTGCGGTAAGGCTCCGCCAAAGGCCAAGGCTCCCATCGGGTCCTGTCGGATGGCTGGATTAAAACGGCTGAGTAAAACCTCAAGGTCCTTGAAGGCTGCAAGCACAGAATGAAGAAAGCGTGAAACACAAGGCTCAGGGAGGGCGCTGGTGAGCTGGACCAAGACTGTCTCGGCCTGTTCAATGAAATTGCTGGTGCAAGGCACAATCACGAAAGGCTGGGTCGGTGACGGCTGCCATAAGGCCCCTGACCGCAAAGCGTCCTTGAGCGCGCTCCGCATGAGGCAGGCAGGGTCGGGACCAGTCGAATGTGACTGCGAAGGACTCCAAAGCTTCCTGGCTGAAAACATGGCTCACATTAGCGAATGCAGTGGTAAATGCACACAGTGACAAAAGAAGGCTGAAGTGCATCGAACCTGTGTGAAGGCCTGTCCGCATGAGAATGTCGTTGACGTAGATGCGGAGGCGGTTCAGTGAGGCAAGATTGCGAGGCCGTTCAAAGAAATTTCCTATCCACGGGACAGGCAAGCGAATCCATTGCTGGCGCAGCACCGAGCCGGGCAATCCATCTAAATGATGAACAAATTGAGTGCTTGCGCCTGCGGTGTCATAAGGTCCAAGGCTGTGGCCGAGTGCTGCACTAAGGTTGCTGGCTGAGTGACTGAATCAGCAGTGGCGACCTGGCTCACGTAAAGTGGAGTGCCCGATCAAATGTGGCTGCCCCAAGGCAATGGTAGGCCTTTTTTGCGACACCTGTCAGGCTGCATTAGTCACAAGAGGGCACTTGTCGTGACTCTCAACGTTCGACGGGCACTGCTACATGTACAGGGCCGTGAAGCGGGTGCTGGAGCGGCAGGCGGCGCGCATGCTCTACCGGGGCGAGGCAAGGCAGACCCTGCCGCCCATCGGAGAGTGGAGGCGCCGCGGACGTGCAGCCGGGGACCTGCGGCGCCAGCTCATGGCCGTCGGCGAGAGCCCCAAGGTGGCGGGGCGCACGAGATCTTCTTGAAGCTGCTGAAGGCGAAACGAGAGGTGCCCGGCGCGGCGGAGAGGCAGAAGACCCTGGCCGGGCAGGATGGCAAGCGCGCGCTGTGCGGCTGCGGGCTGACGACCGGCACCTGCAAGCTCTCGACGTGGCGCTCCAGGGCCTCACGGCGCCAAGTCTCACGGTTGACCTCCCCCTCTAGCAGAGCAGTGTGCTGCAGCATCCGCAGTTCCGCTAGATCTCGCTCACCGAGTTCGTAGCTGCGCTCCAGCTGCCTGCAAAGACTTATCGCGCTCCCACTCCTTACCGCGCGCTGCTCCAACGCGGAGCTCCCCACAAAGGCGATGAGACGGTAGTACAGACGCTCAGCCTGGAGCAGTGCATCCTCGCGAGGCCGCATGTAGGGAGGCCGCTGGACCATCAGAGCGGCCACAAGGCTGGGAGTGTCATCGCCCACCCACGCGGCGGGCTTCTCCAGAAGCCATGCCTGCACGCAGCGGAAGGCCGCCGAGGAAGTCATCTTGAGCAGCTGCGGCGGTTTTTTTTTGAGACCGTTCGATTTGGACCATTCAAGCATTTGGCGGGTTTTTTTCTCTACCGCGCTCCCCTCGCCCTGTCCAAATCCTCCTTAAGGTCATCAACACGACCTCCGCCAGCACCGCCCGCTTGCGAAGATCTTCATTCTTGAGGACCTCGACGCGGCGCTCCACCCGCCAGCGGAGAATGTCGATGCTGCGCTCCAGCTCCCCAACGCGCTCTTCCGCTCGCCGCTCGCGCGCGCTCTTGCGCGATAATCCCGTTGCTGGGCCAGCTGCCAGCAGAGCTCTGGCGCGAGCGCTCGGCCTCGAGCAGCGCGGCTCCTCGCAAGGCCGCTTGCAGGGAGGCCGCTGGGCCATCAGAGCAGCCGCAAGGCAGGGAGCGTCCTCGTCCGCCCACGCGGCGGGCTTCTCCAGAAGCCATGCCTGCACGCAGCGGAAGGCCGCCGAGGAAGTCATCTTGGCAGCTGGGCGGATCGAATAAGCATTCTTAAGAAAGCGAGAAAACGAGAGCTTGGGATCTTTTTTAGCGCTCCTCAAGCTTATCAGCCGCTCGCTTGAGGATCTCGTCGAGGCGCTCACCTGCCGGCGGATGTTGCTGCGCTCCAAATCCGCAACGCGCTGCTCCGCCTGCCCCTCGCTTGCGGGTTTGCCTGAGGTACTCGTTCTTGCGGTCCAGCATCCTGCGGAGATTTTTGTTGTCTCGCTTCCGCTGGTACGAGCGCTCGGCCTCAAGCAGCGCGTCCTCGCAAGGCCGCTCGCAGGAAGGCCGCTGGGCCATCAGAGCAGCCACAAGACAGGGAGCGTCCTTGTCCGCCCACGCGGGGCTTCTCCAGAAGCCATGCCTGCACGCATCGGAAGGCCGCTGAGGAAGTCATCTTGAGCTGCGGCGGATCGAATTATTGTTGTCAACAAAGCGAGAAAGCGAGAAAAACGAGAGCTCGGGATCTTTTTTTCCGCCGAGAAGGTGGTGAAGCTCCCCATGAACCCCGACAAGTTTAGGAACACAAACGCCTACGAACCCACGTGGACCCGGCCAAGTTTGAGCGGGCCGTGGGCAAGAGCTCCGTGACGAACTTCGAGCTCCAAATCAACGACTCGGAGGGGTTCCTGGCCTTTGTGGAGACGCTTAAGACGGTGTCCGTGAAGTCATCTTCGGAAGAGCCTTCTCATGTGGAGGTAGTAGGCCGCCCTTCTGGGCTTGGAGAGCTGCAGCGTCCGGGCTTGGGTGGGCACGCTTATGAACGCCTGCTGCGGTTCGACTCCGTGGTGCAGATCTTCAAGCTGCAGGACCCGCTCCACGCCATGGCCAAGGCTCTCTCTTTAGAGGGGGTTTCCCAAATGGCTTATAT